AAACACACACACACACAAGCAAACACACACACACCACTGAGCCCCTAATGTCTGAAAGATCACTTAAGGCTAAGTTAATTAAGAACAATACTTCTGGCAAGATTGAACTATTGTCTTGTTTTGAATGTCCTGCTTGCTGCATCTTGCACTGGCCTAAATTTTTCCAGTCATCCTCTTGAATTTCAAAAAATGATGCTGGTTTATGAGCACTATGTATGGTCAATGTGTTTATCCAGGTAGCTACATCAAATTCAGACCACATTTCACAAAGGCTGCCAGTGCCAGAACTGGTCTGCAGGCTGCTGCCTCAGGTTGGGATGCAGTTAAAGGGTCTGTAACTCTTTTTCTTTAACAATGCAGAAGGATAGTAAAGAAGTGACTTCTTCCACAAGTCCTGGTTCAGGAATCATGTCCCGGTCTTTGTCTGAGAGCCTGTAACTAAATCTGTTGGTAACTGATCTAGTGTTGCAAAATGTTTTATTTAAATGGCCTTTCCTTAGGGTTTGCCAACAGATACAGCATTGAGAATGTTCAGGTGGATTTAAGGACTGGAATTCTGAGAGGACTGCTAGTGTGTGCCCTTATCTTTGGTGTGGTTCTAAGAATTTGAACAACACAATAATAAAGTCTTTGAAGTTATCTCTTTGTCATGCTTTATTTAATTAGCCTGAAATACTGTCCAGAACCCGATGTGGCACCTGTGGTTGACTTCAATTCATCTGATACGTACCCAGTCCCTCAGAACAAGACAAAAACCCCCCATTTCTTTTTCCTTAGCATGCCTTCATTTGAGTATGTTTTATAATTAGCAATTATTCATATATGGATAGAAGCCCGGGTGGCTGGACAGCATATATGCATTTATTAACATAAATGGTTAAGACATTATGGGGGGAAATTAGGAGATAAAACAACCTAGAAGGAACATTTGGTGAAAGCAAAGCACTGTAAAACTGATCAGTATTTTTTTGACATTTTATAAACCATTGTACACCTATTGCCATGGTAATGAATGGAAATAGAGTGGATTATACATGTTTTGGTGGTTTTAATTTAAAAAAAATGAGGAAGGCAGTAAGCAATATAATTTTTACTCTATTTTCAGTTAGTAGCTACTAGCTACTGTTCTCTTTTCAGCTCATAGGTCTGTTTTAAAAGCCAGAAAAATAATTGTTCAAAAATCCATCAAAGTGTGTACATGTTGTTGAGGGGAGAAAGGACAGAACATTGTTTCCAAGACATTTTGTCTGTCACAAAAAAGGATACTGACTGACACCAGAGAGAGCATTCCTGTATCCCTTTCTTACTGAAGGTTTAATTGTGATCAGAGCCCTTTGATACATAAGGAAAAGTTATGAAAAGAATAATAAGGTGAATAATAAATTCCTTAATTAAAACTAAATAATAATGTATCTTCTTATTCAATTTTTTTTAAGTGTTGTGTTAATAAAAATAAATGCCAAACAGGTTTTGCAAATACAGTAAAATAAGCTTTTCACAGACATTGAATTAATTTAATTGCAGAAGTCTATATTGTCATTTAATTTAGTAGGCAAACAAGACTGCTGATCTTTCTGATCTGGTATTATGTATCCAGCTGAGAGCAGGATCCTAAGGCGTTAATATTTTAATTGTCATAGTGAACTGTCGTTCTCTTCATTGTATTGTGTGAAACAAGAGTAGAGTTTTTCAGCAGGCCCATAAGATTGTAAATTTTAAATAAATTGTAAAAGTGTTAATAATACTTTGGAATATTCATTGTGTATAATGGAATTAATTTTGCATTCTTACTCTTCTGACATATTACCTATAAATTGCATATCACCTATAAATGACATAAATTACATGGAATAAGATCAGCTTTGTTTACTAACATGCTTTTTTCTTACACTTTCGTTTCCTTCTTTGAGTTTGTGGCACTTTGTTCAGTATTATCACCTGTAATTGTGTCCTTTGTAATCCATTCAGAACTGAAGATAGATTCCTATAGAATACACAGAGATGGCAACACAGATACCAGATTATGTGCATTATGTATGTATTTATACCATATATGCTGTTCTTTGGAATGGCAATTGTACATTTCACAAAAAGCAAACATTTTGCTTTGCTAGAGGAAGCATTTGGTTAAATATACCTCTGGCTAAATAAAGAGACCACCAACACAGAGGTAGGTGGAGACATCATGGTTGGCATACTAATTCAAACATGACAGGTTGTTTTTAATGTATTTCCCATTTGAGGATTAGTGTTCATAAGCATAGGCAAATTATTCCTTGCAGTATGTTTGTGGTTGTATGCAACGTAATGAAAAGATTTCCAAGACAGATTATTTGCAATTGGAGCTCATTAATGAGGTAGATGAATTTTAAGCCTGATGAAATGATACCGATAAAAATTTAGCCTCAAATACACCTATAAAAGGGAAGTTTCTGGATTTTAAAACCCTGCCCCTAAATTAATTTTTTATTCTATACATGATATTTTATATTTGATTTTAATTTTAGTTTGTATGTTTCTGAATGTTAAGTGAGTTATCTAATTAAAATTAATATTTCTGAACATATTATCTGAAATGCATTGCCTTTTTAATATCTGTGTATTAAAACTTCAATAATCTTGTTCTTAGTGGATCACAGTTTTAAGAAATTTCACTTGCTTCAGGTACAGGTTAAAGAACATAAGCTTTCAGAGTTTCAAGACATATGTTAGAAAGTCTAATGTTAGGCGAGTTGACAGCTGAAAAGACTTTTACTAACTTTCCATCCATATTTTTCTGTGGACTTTTGCTACAAGACAAATGAGTTTGCAGAATGGAAGTGCCTTTTATCTGCTTCTCACTGTGGCTATTAGCAGTTGTTGCAAGAATGAGAGGAGGATAGCATGTAGGATATTCCTACTAACCTCCCTGCTTCCAGCACTTTTCAGCCTGGAAGCCTCTCCTGCCTCTCTGAGGTTTGTCTGTATTTCCTAATGCTCAGTGTGTTTCTTTTTCATGACTTTGTATCATTGGCAAACTTTTAATCTTGTTTTTTTTCCCAAGTAATTTGCACGTATCTTAAATAACACAGATCCCAGCATAGAAACTTAGTAAAACTCACCTGTCTCAACTGTGAAGACTCGTGATTTACTCCCATGTCCTCTTTTGAGGAATTATTTATCTGTGCCATTTCATTTGTATGCCCCATCTGTTAAGTTTTCCCCAAACCATTTGATTAATGACTTTCTAAGCTCTCTTGGAAATCTCAGTAGATCATAGCTCTCTATCTATGTGCTTCTAAACCATTCAGAGATTTCCCTTTCCAAAAGCTGTCCTGCCTCTTCTGTCATGAGTCATCCAGATGTCTGCTGATTCAGTTCTTCATAATGATCTATACTAATTTCTATGGATGTCAGGCTTGTGGGTCTCTAACTTTCAAGCTCTCAAGATGTTCCTTGAAAAAAAAGCCTGAACCTTGCTTTTGTGTGTTTCAGTGCGTATAAGGGGATTTACAATTGTTCCTAGCATTTGCTGATCAATTGTTCATTTAGTTTTGCAATTTTTAAGTAGGCCCTTCAGTTTCTTTAAGCCTCCCACAATGAGTTCTGGCATCAGGGTCTCTCCAGTTCTCTTCAGTGGACATCAGTGAGAAGTGTAAAATTTGCTTGTCCACAGGGGTCTTGTCTTCTCTGTATTCCTTTATATTTTCATTGCCAGTCAGCTCTGCAGACTCCCTGGCAGGTTTTCTTATTCCTCATGTCTTTGAAGGAATATTTATTGTTAGTTTGCTAGTTGTTCCTCTTCTATTTTCTTCTTCTGTACATTTCTTCTGATATCCTCTTTTATATTCCATTATTTATAGTCATGTTGGTTTTCTATTGCTGTTCCCTAAGTCTTAACAAATGGTATGTGCTGGCCTTGTGCTTACTCCACAGCATCTCTAAGTAGTTTCCGCAGTACCTGTAGGGATTTAATTTTTGTTCTTTTGATGTGTTTATATAAAAATGTCCTTGTTTTTATGTATACTTCCAGATGTATTGCTCACCAAAGGCAGAATTTCCACAGCTATCCTTTCCTTTTTTAACTGTCAGAACTTCAGTGCAAAGCAGGTAGTTAGAAATTTGTGAGATTTATAATTCCAAAACCAACATAAGTGCAAAAACAGTACATGAATTGCTTATGCACAGTATCATAGACGGTTTTGAAAGCTATCACATTTTATTTCAGAAGTGGGGCTACACATTCTGCTGTGTAATCTGGTGGGGTTTTTCCAGTGACATTGGCAAACTACTCAAATGGAGTCTTGAGAGCATTAGAAGCAGTATGTGGAGTACTCTGTAGAAGAGAAGTTCTTTACTGATCCTTTTCTCATAATATTTGAATTTCCTGCTCTTTTGTGCTAAAATGATGTGAACAACGGAGGGGGTTTTTGTTGTTGTTGTTGTTTGGGGTTTTTTTTCTTCAGTGTAAATGAGTTAATTACTAGAATTTTGATCCTTCAAGGTAGGATTTATCACTTTACTGTGTATTTTTGAATTGGCTGGTTCTAATTTACCTGGTTGTGAATATCTGATCTTCTTTTTTTTGTCAAGTTCTCCATTTCATGCTGTCCTATACAGCAGGAGTGGAAGCTATGCTTAATTTTGAGAGCAGTGTTGAGGTAAATTTAAATATTAGTTATCGCTCAGACAGGAGCAGTTTCAGATGCTGGAAGTTGTCCTCTTAGAAATACCCACTAAACTGTGCAGTCTACTTCCATGCATATCAGCATAGTTAAGTCATTTTGTAGCAGCTGAATATCTGTCCTGTAATGTTTTAAATAATTTCATTTCTGATAGATAAGTTGTGTATTAAGTATTTAACTTCTATTTGCTTTTTTAAAGGACTCTTAATGGACTCAGTAAGAACAGGTTGTTACAAGTGATACCCATGCATCTTAGAATTACTTAATCAAAACAGTAAGAAATCATTTGCCTGTCTTGTGGTATGCTTGAATTTTATTTTTTTCCCCATGTTTCAGGTAAATATGCTGAAGATATATTTGGTGAACTTTTCAATGAAGCACACAGTTTTTCATTTAGAGTCAACTCCTTACAAGAACGTGTAGATCGCTTATCTGTCAGTGTTACACAACTCGACCCAAAGGAAGAGGAATGTAAGTTACCTCCTGCAAGGAGGATTTCTTATTTTCTCACTCAGACAGCTCTGATAGGTAAAATGGTAATAATAGTTTAATAGTTTAAATCACATTTGCAAGAACACAGAACAAAGCATCGTAAGAAAGGTCCATTTCTATTTCTGCTGCAAGTTTCTTTTATAGCCTTGAGCAATTTTCTGAGCTCAGCATTTTCATGGTTACTGAATGATACTAAGGAATTTACATAAAAATGGCTACAGGAGTATATGTCACTTCAATAGTGTTATGTATTTGGAATATTAATAATATTGTGTAATATTATGTGAATGCCTGGAGATAAGTCTATACACTTTTTTAAACCTTTCTACTAATTCTCATGGAATGTAAACATTTGTTCAATGAGGATTTTTTGCATTTAACTTGTACCATCTTACTTTCTGTACAATGTTACAGTTATATAGCTTCATTTACTACTGCTGTAAAACCTTCTGAATTCTTTCTAAATAACTTTAAGTATTGTAAATATTGGTTAGCACTGAGAAAACAAATACTCTCAAAAGTCATCAGCTCATGCCTTTAAGATAGAATTTGTGTAGAATTTTAAAGGATGCCTAGGCTTTGTTTGACCACCTAATACATAAAAGCTCTTTTGCCTTCTTTGATATCTGTTGGTTGCAGGTGGAATTGTGAAAAATCTTGTAACCCCGAACAATTTATGGTGTTCTAAACTATGTGGTTAAGACCTAGAAAGCAGAGGAATATCCCATCATGAAAAGTAACTTCAGATTGTTTGTAGGATCCAATTTTAAACTGTAGAAAGCTGTTTCAGTTCCAAATGTCTAGATATAATAATTGTGTATTATTACATTGTGTGATTACAGTTGTGTATGCAGAAAAAATGAAGTGTCAAACCAGGAGAGTGGTCTTCAGGCTGTCTTTGGTTATAGATGTCAAAATTTCTCTAGTAGCAAAATTAAGCAAAGGGAAGTTTTGATTCTGTATTTCGCGTGACATTAATTTTAGAACAGGTTTTGAAAGACAGCTGTTCACAGCTAGTAGCAGATTTTCCACAAAATCATGACTTGCCTAGGGGAATTCTTACATTAACGGGATTTTCCAAGTCTCTTGATAACTGAGCATAAATCACCCCCATAAACCTCTTTTTCCAGTTGTTGTGGTTTAGCCTGGTAGGCAGTTAAGCACCACACATCCACTTGCCCACCCCTGCTCCACAGTGGAAGGAGAGACAGTTGAGGGGAAAAAAAAATAGTAAAATTCGTGGGTTGAGATAAAGATATTTTAATAGGACAGAAAAGGAAGGGAAAACATCCATAATAATATTAGAATATACAGAACAAGTGACGCACAATGCAATTGCTCATCACCTGCTGACTGATGCCCAGCCAGTTCCTGAGCAGCAGCCCAGACCCCAGACACCTTTCCCCCTGGGTTTATATGCTGAGCATGACACCATATGGTATGGAAGGTCTCTTTGGCCAGTTGGGATCAGCTGTCATGCCTGGGTCTCTTCCCAGCTCCTTGTGCCCCCCCATCCTGCTTGCTGGTAGGGTGGAGTTAGAAGCTGAAGAGTCCTTGACCACTGCTCAGCCACAAGTGAGACAGCAGTGTGCTATCAGCATTATTCTCACCCTAAATCCCAAACACAGCACTATACCAGATACTAGGAGCAAAGGAAATCTCCTGCCCAAACCAGGGCATTTTTGCTATGATTGGATAATGATAAAAAACCGTTTCCATGTATGATAATAAATTGTCGGCAGTTGTAATCTTGTGCAAACTGCAACACTCCAGAGTGCTAATGGAATTTCCGCATTTACTCTTGACAGCCTAATTTTGGTTTAAATCTGAGGGGGATGTATTTTGATATATCCTATCTAATATGTTAATCAATCTCATTTCCACAGATTGGAGAGACCATATTAAGCCATTGAGTTAAAGCATCCAGGGATCGTACACAATAGCAAGATGGAAAATTGTACTGTCCTATGTAAAAGGCCTTTGACAAGTTTGGCTCTAGGTTTCAGGACCAAAAATTTGTAATGTTTTGATGCTAGAGAATTGCTAGAAGTAGTTTTACATAGTGTGTAGTCCCCAATGCACCATACCAACACATTTTCACAGAATTGTGCATGCTGTAGTGTTTGCTAAACTGTTTAGCTGAAGAAAGGTGCATACACTGCAGTTAAGGAAAGGGGGCTGGGAATAGGTCTGCACAGTGAAGTCCAGCATAGTTCAGGGTGACTTGAACCTGATCCTCTGGATTTGTGTCTCACACCATAGAATAGCAGTGACTACTTGTACTTCAGAGGAGCACATGCAGTCCTCAGTGTCAGGAGCTGTTAAGTGACAGTTTTTATTAACCTAAGAATATCCAGTCCCTGAGCTGTACCCAGTGCTTCTTATTCACAAGCATCTGCCTGGAATGAGTCACCAGATGAGGACAGTGGAGATGAGGAGGTATTTGATATTCTATTTCCTTAAAAGTCAGGGATCAGGAAACATTTTTTCTTTCAATATACTGTTTTGGGCTTCACTTGTAAATCCATCACAAATAGTTTAGGTTTAGTCCTAGTGTGGAATAGCATAGCTGAAGGATGAAGGTGAGGGAAAGGGAGGAATATCTGAATTTACCATTTTTAACTCTCTGTGCAAGAATTAAGCAACTTTCAGTACTTCTACTCAGCTCACAGCATGAGTAAAATGGGATATACTTGTGAAATGAGTCTCATCTGCTCTTTGCCAGGAGGCAGTAATAGAAGATTTAATAGGTTCCTTTGGGCCCATGCTATTACACAAGAGAAAGAAATTAAGATTCATTTAAAGCTAAGTGGCATGAACAAAACCAGCCCAAGTCAGATTCACTAAACGAGGTGCAGATACTTGACAAGATGTTTCTGGTAGAGTCAGAGTGATAAAGAGCTCTGAATTTGTTTGAACAGTCTGTGTGTTTTCTCATTTTGAATTATTACAGTATCTCCGTGAAAGAATAAAACCAATCTTTAGGAACCTAACTCCTCATACACAATTTTTCTGTCATAGAAAAGTTGCTATGAACTTGTTTTGGTTTAAATTATTACATTGTTTTCAAATTCTTGATTTCTCAGTATCATTAATTTAATATTTTAGTAGATTTTTAAAAAATACTTTATTCTTGTCATATACATGTGGGTTTTTCCCCTCAGAAGATACCAAACTTGTATGCAGACAAAAAGAAATCCTCTGCTTTCTTTCAGTAAACTCAACTTTATTTCAATTGTATGGGAAACCAGCCCATATGTATCCAAGAGTAATATTTGAGGTCCTTTTAGGACTGAGAAAACACATTCTTGCTATAAAGAAGGTCGGCATCTGAACTAAGGTCGACAGCTTCACTAGCCCTGCAATATAAGGTGTCCTCATAGGTGAGAAAATAAATACTGAGTATAGTTTCTTTGCAACCATTTTCCATTTCAGTATTTACTTTTTAAGTAAAATGACTGTCCATATATATATGCAGATCGTATAAGTAAAATAATATTTTTCTTAATTGATCAAATTTTTGTTAATTTAATTGTGCCTTTTAAGTGTGAAGTACCACTAAAAGTGAATAATGTCGTAGCTGTAGAAAACTGATGATTTTGAAAAGAATATTAATTTTAACATTTATGTGGTTCTTTTTTGAAATGGTACATGGTACATCTCTCATGTATAATGTCATGAGGTATTGGAAAATAGTTTTGTATCACTCAGATATAAATAACATCAGGGCAGAAGGAAAATTCATAAACTAAAGAGTTTATCAGACCATTTTGGGATTAATTTACTGGTTCTTTCAATGTGAGCTGCCTAATTCTATTTAAACTTCAAACCAGAGAGGATTTTAATCTCAAAGGCAGCGTATCAAATTCTTGATTTCTATAGCATATTTGTTATAACTGTGACAAGCAAATTAAATAAACCTAGTGGCAGAAGTACTGTGGGTGAGCAGCCTGGCAGCTTCAGGAAAGGAATCAAATAGAAGCCTACTGAAACAAAATTCACAACACTGCCTTTGAATACGTGTTCGTTGTTTTTCTAAACATTCTATAAATATTGCCCTGTCATTAGAACAATAGTAGTTCAGAAGTTTGGCTGGAGTAATGCCAAAAACAGATTTGATGTTTTGCTGGGGGAAAAAAAAATAGCAAATTTGGTGGGGAGAAACCCAAAAAGCTTGGCAGGTAATTGTGGTCTGTATATTGCTGGAAATGGGAGATTTGGTCAACTTTAAGGTTTGGATACTCAGCCCATTGTGAGACTTAGAAGGAAAGGGTAGTAAATCCCTGTTTAAGTGGCAGCTCACTGTCTTTAGCCTCTGAAGATTTTGCTGAGTATAAAAAAGTATAAATGAAATCAAAATTAAGAACAGGGAGCACATGAAAATTGGGTCATGATCTCCACATGTACTATATTAAGTGGAGAGTAACATTACTGTCAATTCATTCATTAGAAATTTTATCCTCAAAGGCAAATAAAGACTGTTAAATTACACAGCAGGTCACTTCCTTGCACATCTCTGCTTAAAAAAAGTTGGGTTTGAGTGTGTCTCCCTCTGGAAATTCTGAGCGGGTGGGCTGGGCTTCAATTGCTCTCCATGTTCCTTCTCCAATTTTCTTAGGCCCTTGATTAAATTTATGGGTTATTTAGTAAGTAAATCAGTTTTAAATTAGTGTGTCCAAGGCTTAATAGTTCCATGATAAGACCATGATACTGGGTATTTTGTGTATAAAAAGAGGGATTTGGACAAAATACCATTTGCTAAACAATGTGGTGGTTTTATTGCGACTCACCAGCAGATGCTATGCTTGATGCCCGTGGGTAATTCACATCTTAATGGGGCTTGCATGTTCTACATGTTGCATTTGAAGCAACTTCTGAGTCCTCCTAAAATGATTGCTCTAATAATTACAACTTCTTTTTGTTTATCCGTAGTAGTTAAGCTACATATGTTCTATATCCAAAGAGTTCTTGAGTTGTTTTGGAATTTTTTAGAAGAATATTTCAGAAAATTTCAATTTCTTGTGTAGGGGACAAGCCCAAGAGTCATGTCTGATCTACAGAAATAATCTCTCCCCTTAGCAACTATCAAATCCACAGTCAGAGTGTTCTGATGGTAGAGAAACCTAATATGTGTGCATTCTGGTCATTGTTTAAATGGATAATCATTAAAAAAATAAAATGAGTAAGGTAGAAATCAGACTTTGAGATTGCAGTGTCTTTAGGAACTGAATCACACAAATCTTTACCTTCAGAGAATTTTCAACAGCACCACTCCCTACCAATTAATTTCCTTTAATGGGCAATTTACAACTAAGTTATTTGTTCAAGGGTATTGTTCTTTCCTCTGCACTTTTCAAATTGCTGGGTAAGATTTTGAACAGAGAAAGGGAATTGTGGGAAACCAAGTCTCTTGATTTGAATGAAATTTCCCCTAGTCATTTAGTTCTGCAGGGAGTCAGAGCTGTGATATTCAGGAGTTTACGGTCTTGAAACTTGCCAAGATGAAATTCTGCATGAAGTATTAAGAGAGCAGGTTTTTAAGAGGAAAATATATGATTTATGTATTTGCTGTCTTTAGGAGAATGGCATTTTTTGGCCTAGAACCTAATCATAAACTGTGTAGTTGAGTGAGTGTAAAAGAATAAAAGTAAAGCTAATAACTTTTTTTCTTCTGGTGAGGTAAAATGTAGTATTTAATGTATTTGAAAAGTTAAAAGCAGTTACTTCCTATCAGTGCACTGGTGTGCTCTACACCTGACTTTTACTACAAATCGGGGATTGCAATTTAATGAGATACTTGACAAGAGGTAAAACATTATTTAGTAAACACATTACTAAACACAAAGATGTGCTTTTATTAAATTTTTGCTTCACCCCAAAAGAAACACAGTTATTGTATCTCATCACAGTGCAATATAAATACCCTTTCCCCCCCACCAATTTGTTGTTGATTATAAGTAAAAATGGACTGGCATCACTTTTTCAAAACCAAGTGTACAAAAGGTTGACAGTTTAGCTTTCTAAAAGACAATTTTTGCTTATGCAGAAAATATGTTGTGTGCAGAGGATTAGATTGGCTGATATAATACATCCTTTCATACAATCCAAACAACAGGCACAATAAAGACAAACAGGCATTTGTTTGGATTGTTGAATGAATCTTCAAATTAAATTGTGAATATCTCAACATTTAAGGAAATTATTTAAGACCCCGGTTTTTGTTAATTGCAGTGAACACAGGTGGTAGAGTAGATGGACATTCAGAAAAATATATCCATATCAAATTTAGGATCTTGGGCTATACAAAAAGTTCTGGTACTAGTTAGGAATTAAGCAACTGGAAGCATAAATTTGCCAGCATCGAGTCAAATGCCTGCAGCTTTTCCAACTCCTCCTTCAGCCGCTCGTCTCTTCTCACACCTGAATTCATACATCCAATTTGTCTGACCTGTCCCCTCTCAGTGCCAGTTTGTCAGTCAGCCAAAGCCGGGTGGCTGTGGCACCAGCCAGGTTTTCACATCTTCCCCTTGCTGAGGCTGTAAACCACGCAGGGCTTTTGTGCCTTGGCCAGCTGGCAAGCTGAACAAGTGGCTTTGTAAGCCAAACACAGCCCAGGATTACTCTGGGTGTGCAACATGGGATTTACCTGATCCCTCTGCGTAGGCGAGTTATATCCATGTCATGGTTCTCTGTATTTTGCAAGCCACATCCTTCCATTTCCTGAGCAATGCTGGCCTAATGTAGTCTGTTGTTTGGAATAATGGTGTGCTTTTCAGGGAATGCCTGATACAGGTTATCAGCATAGGAAATGCTGCTTGAAATTCTATACTTTATCTTCTCCATGAAGCCCTCTGCTGTCTATCTTAGGTTTAGAGAGAAAATTATTATGCTTATTGTTTGGGATAGATTGATTATCCTCTGGTGTGTTATACCCCTGTACATGTGTACAAAATGTAGGGTTTTAAGCAAGAAAAGGGAAGTTATGAATTTGTCTGTGCTTGCTCATTGAAGAGATGGAATGCTAATAAGGAGTTTGTAGAACAGTCTCAATAATATGGTGTCACATATGCTCTGAGCATTTTAATATTAATCCAAAGTAATTTATTTATTTATTAGAATAAATTGATTAAGTTCATTGTCTTCTGAATGTACACAGGTTCAAAGAGAAGTATACTAAGTTGTACTTTTGTTGGAAATGTCTCCAGTATATGACAGGCAGTTAGAAATCTTGCAGGATTGCCAAGCAACTCTGAGCAAGTACATTTGGTGTTATTTGTATAACCAACAACCCAAAGGAAAAGCAGCTGAAGTATAAAAAGATCTAAGACTTAAATTTTTACATGAGGTAAACCTCAGTTATTCTAACTGAACTTTTGCCAGCTAATAACAACCTGTACTGCATGACAGGTACAAAATATATAGGGTTATTTATGACTGCAAAAATACCTACAGAAATTGAGACTCCTAGCTGACATTTAGACATTATAATACTTCTTTCACGCACTTAAAAAGCCTTCTGAGCAGCTAATTAAAGCTATTAAAAAGAATAAAAGACACTGTGATGAATTAGAACCTAAGGGTAAAAAGGAGGAAACTTCTCCAGGAATACACAACCTTGCCAAGTGCAATAACAATCAAAAGCCAAGCTGAAAAGCAAATAAATCCCATCTTTAGCCTCACAAAGGATGTTGCCAATATGCTTAGGTAAGAAGACAGAACATTCCAGGAACTACATGCCTTCTGGAAAAAATCCTGCCTTCTGCCCGTTTGTGATCACACAGAAGAAATCCAGCTTGGTGTGTGTACACATATGTGCATGTACACTTGTATGTGTTACAGGAACCCGAGTAAAAAACAGTTTTCAGCTTAAATAGGTTTTTCTTTAAATTGTTGTCAAAGGCCCAAGTAATAGTGGGGCAGAGGTAGAGTTGTCTTCTCCAGTTGCATAAGGGGGCATTACTACCAACCTGTTTCTATAAAATAAACATAATTATTTATAGATAGAATGTATGTACTGAAAACACTCTTTGCTACTACGTCAGAAAACTGTTTTCAGTATTGTTTGTGATTTTAAAAAAAGAGCACAAACTGATGAAAAGATCTGCTGCTTTATCTAATGGAAGTCTCATGGTGGTTAAAAAGGTAGCTTTGAGGCACACCTGGACTTCACAGGTGCGGTAACTGAAGACCAGGGAGGGAGAGAAATATGAGACTAAATAGGTATACTGTTTCCAGAATTAAAAGTGCAAAGCTTATCAGTTGTGGTCACTTTTCCATTAATCTTTATCTAAATTTTAATGCAATAGAAAAAACTCTTTTGAAATTGAGAATGATATGTAGGCTTTTCCAGGAGTGGTTAAAAATAGTTGAAATCCCTGTTGTGTTGTGTTCATGTAGTATTGTTTTCCTTTGGATCTTGCATAAAGATAATGGATTATTCCTAATGACTGTGCTGAAAAGTCAAGGTGGCTCTGAATTAGACAGAGGAGGCTCATGTTGATTAAACAGATTAAAAAGCATTTGACTATTTTCATATGTTGGAACATGGAATCACCTCCCATTAAAGCCCATTGATCTCAGTAGCACAAGCTTAAGTGATTTGCTGATTTGGCATCTAACTGGGCCCTCAGTAGAACTGCTGCCTACATGGAAGGAATGCAAAGTTTGGCTTGCTGATGCCATAAGGGTAAAATCTATACCTCAAGATAGAGAGCAGATTTTAGTAGCAAAAGGATTGTGAAATGGGGTTGGTAAATGTAATTAATTACTTCTGAACAATCAAATGATATTTTACAGCTACTGTACGCAATTTGTTGAACTACTTAGGAGGGACAGAGTTCTGATATCTCTTTAGGTGAGAAAAATTTCCTGTGAAGCTAAATAGAGGGTAATATGCTAGAATATTACAGCCGTGTTTTTCACAGTCTGACAATATCTTGCCATGGCGATAGTGCTAGATGAATCTGTACTTGGGTAAGATGCCCAAGATGCAAGCAGTAGTACTTTATATTTTAACCAACATTAGGCAATTCCAGATTAATCCAAGCAAAATTTATCTGGTGGGATTTTATTAAATGGCAATATCCCCTTTCAGTGTCACTGCAGGACATTACAATGAGAAAAGCTTTCCGGAGTTCCACAATTCAAGACCAACAGCTGTTTGACCGCAAAACTCTGCCAATTCCTTTGCAAGAAACTTACGACATCTGTGAACAGCCTCCTCCACTTAACATTCTCACCCCTTACAGGTTAGTAAAACAAAATTAATCAAAAACAATTACTAGCTTATTTTGTGTGATAGAGAGGTTGCCATATATACATGATACAGTGTGAGCACCTTGCTCACACTGAGTAGCACTTGAATATTTAAGGAGCCAGACTAGAAAACTGTGAAGCTGCTGGAGGATTGAAAGCAATGGAAGACATTATAAGCATTAAAACTTTACTCCATTTTACTCAAATCTTAACTCAGTGTAACATGGTAGGAAAAAGTAATTTTTATTTTTTGTATTTATTAAATCATATAATGTACTTGGATGTGAAGTGAAGCAATTAAACAGGTAAGTGTGTAGAAAGAAGGATCTTTAATGGAAATGAATGTTGTTTGCTGTCCCAGAGATTGTTTGAGTCAGTAGCTGAACATGAGCAGCCATACAAATTTGCTCAGTATTTTAAAAGCAAGATTTGAGTTATTGGAGTGAGAGTTCTCTGATTTATGACACTCCTTTTTTTGTCTGGGCTTGTGTTAAAGTTGTCTTTCTAAAATTAGGACCTTGAATGTCAGGAAAGATAGTAAAAAGTGATGGTGCAGGAAGTCAATGATCATCTCTTTGGTGTTCCTCAGTAAAACATTTCAGGGTCTGAGATACTATATATTTCTTAATATGCCCTTGCTTTGTCTTAATGTTTGGATTCATGTCTTGTCAAATAACTAGTATGCTGTTTGTGTCACTGTGTTTCAGGGATGATGGAAAAGAGGGTTTGAAGTTCTATACCAATCCTTCATATTTCTTCGATCTGTGGAAGGAAAAAATGTTGCAGGACACCGAGGACAAAAGAAAAGAAAAGAGGAAGCAGAAGGTACATATGTTAACTTTATATGGCTTCTCTTTGTTTATTCCAAGAAAGGGTTTGCTTGCAGATATGCTACTTTAATAGCAGTTCAGACTTTGACAGAGTCACCTTTATTCAACTAAAGCTACCTGTATTCATTCAGTTCCATCAACTTTAACAATTAATAGTAGTAGTAGTAAAATTATATAGAAGGACTTACAGCTTTCATGCTGTCCTGACATAACAACTTTTGCCAAATTTCTAAGTATTCTAGCAATGACTCAGAAAGGAGGAATACAGTAGGAATAAAGGATTTCACTTGAACACTTATTTGTAAGACAAAATTTTGACAATCTTACAGGTGAAAAAGCTTGAAAGACATTGTAATGTATATGTTTAAACTAGAAAGAAATTAGTATCAATTAGAAGAAAACACTTTGCTTATATTTTCTTAAAATTAAATAAGCACTTTTGCAAGAAGTACTGCTACTTTTTTGTTTGACCAATTCTATATGTTTCATACATAGTAGAGAGAGTATATATGAGTGTCAGATTGATAATTTGATTTCAGACTTAGAATAAAAAACTACTTAAACAGGTAATTTTTCTCTGTATTACTCAGGTACTTATCCACTAGACTGATGTTTCTGGCTCTTACAAGTCTTCTTGGCCTACGTGTTATGTTTAGCCTGAAAGCAAATTTTTCTTGCATTTGAAATGGGATTTGTTTTCATAATTTTGTGGCTGATGTCTATATGCAAGTAATTAAAAAACACTGTCTCAGCTGTCAGTTTTGTTTGCACAACTCTCTTACAGCAGAAAAATCTAGATCGCCCTCATGAACCAGAGAAAGTGCCAAGGGCACCTCATGACAGACGGAGAGAGTGGCAGAAGTTAGCCCAGGGTCCAGAGCTCGCAGAAGATGATGCTAACCTCTTACACAAGCACATTGAAGTTGCTAATGGCCCAGCTTCACATTTTGAATCAAGGTTTCTTGTTGGTTTTTCTATCCTTTATGAAGCGTATTTGTACTGCGTAGTGAACACACGTGAAAAATGGCCAGTGATGAGATACTACTGCGCCACTTGAAATGCACTGGAAATCACTAATTCAGCCTAGCCAAAGCTCAGTTTTAAAGTTCTTTGTGGGTCCTTGAAGCAGTAGTTACTATGTTGTTGTTTTTAAGGGTAGCATTTATCCTCATTGTATCCTTGAGGATGTGTTGTCCTGTGCAGCTTGAGGAAGGTGTAGTGTCACTGCTGCAAACTTGCACCCAAGTGTGTCACTACATTCCAGTCCTGACCTACAAAATCCCTATTATTCCAGCCTCTTGATTTTTTCTTAAGCAGACACTGCCAAGACTATATCATGTGTGTAACGTGAACAAACGTCCTCTTGGAACTCAAATGAGAATGCTGAGCTTCTCTTTACTCTTGAACAAACCCATTATTTGATTGACATTTCTGGTTATAGCCTATTACAAAATCCAACCTGTTGAATTCTCATTTCACAGCACGTATTTGCTGGTGGCTAAAAGTAGCATTTCACATGGTAAACACCTGCTGTGCTTATGCTTCTGGTCTTGGTGCAAAATCAAGTCCTTTTTACCAGCCAAGAAATATCTGATAGCAAAGAGGGCTGACAAGTAATGTTAGGACATTTGGGGGTGTATTTTTGGTTTGGGGATTTTGAGTAGTTTATTTTGTTGATTTTTTTTTTAAATTTAAAAATATTCATTGTCCTCCCAAAAAGTGGTTAATTTTTTCCTCAATCTTTCTGTGGTCAAAAGTGAACCATAAGAGAGCATTTTATTTAGCTTTGTAAGGCCTTCAAACAAGCTCAGTAGTGATGGTGAGTAATTATGACAACTCTAGGAAAGAGTGTTGCCTGAAAAGTAGAAAAACCTGCTTGTAAAAAATTTAGCTCCATTCAGAATGTGAAAATGCTCTTAGTCCATTTCACTCAGTGGGGCACAAGTTAAGTTATGGTGATTAGCATTTTTCTAGGAACAGTTTTACAGTATCTCTGTAAACTGCTGTGTCAAGTCATTGGCAGAAACATCTGCTTTCCTGCTGTCCTTTTGTTGTGTTGTATGTTGAGTTCCACTTTAGACATGCTTGTTTTATATCCAGGACCCTGGCCTAAACCTTGATTATCTCATTACTATAATGCCTTTATTAATAATGCTGAAGTGCTTGGGAGCAGTGCATGTGCAGAACATGTTCAGATACAGAACAGCACCATGCTTTCAAACACATGAGGAAGATTTTCACCCCTGAAGAATTTAATAGGCTTAGATACTACAGTGGTGGCAGTATGTAGAAATGTAGAGTCATGTAGCAATGCTCTGCTTGTTGGAAAGTGTTCTACAAACACTTTTGCTCTGAATTTAATAGAGATTTTTTTAAAATAAAAACCTGTAATTGAATAGTTAATTAAAATTTACTAACTGATCAGGTCCTTGAGGTGTGTCAAAAGTTTTCAGTAACAAGCTGAATCATCTTTATTTACTGCTACTACTCAATAATAGCTGTTGATTGAGTCCTATGTCTATTAAAGCAGTGAGTTCTCTGTATATATTTGAATAAAGATCCTTTGACAGAAGTTCAGGTAAATTATTCCATTGTAAATTCTACCATTCTAACATCGATGGATGTTTCATGAATGTTATGAAGGAATAGTTCTGGTTGTATTGCTGTGTTTATTTAACTCAAAATAATGTGACTAATAAACACTAAGGTCACACACATACTGTAGAAACTATCTGATGTACCTGTCAAAATCAAACCCTTGAGCTGCTAGAAGTAATAACAGGGAGAGTGGGATAAATCATTGAAAAGCCACACTGTATAATATGCAGCAGTAGAGGAGAGAAGATTCTTGTATTCAGAAGTCAGACTGAAGTACAGAACAGTAGCTGAGGGCACTAATACTTACTCCTGCTAAAGGTGCAAAAGTTGGATCATTTCTCCCTGATTTTCTACAGATCTCAAGCATACGTGGACCACATCGATGGATCGTATTCCCTCTCTGCGTTGCCCTACAGCCAGATGTCTGAGCTCCTGAACAGAGCCGAGGAGCGCGTGCTGGTCAGGCCCCACGAGCCGCCGCCGCCGCCTCCCATGCACGGAGCCGCGGAAGCGAAGCCTGTGCCTCCCTGCGTTAGGTACGAGCCAGAAAAGCCACATGCAGATCTATTGGGGCTGGTTTTGTTTTCTACCACCTCACTAATAGTGTGAGAGTTATTTCTGTACTGCCCAGAAATCCCAGGGGCTATGGCAGCCCACAGTCCCAGCGCTCCCGCAGGAACAGGGCCGCCAGGAGCTGGATGGGAAGGCTGACATCTAAACCCATGGAGTGCTCTGGTGCAGACAGGCCTCAGCTTGACATTGATACTGTGACCATGTTGCCTTCTGAGTTTAATGGCAAGACAAATAACTGTATGGAAAATGTTTCCATTTGGCTGGCGTTTCAGGATGTAGCTTTGGAGCTTTGGAAAGCTGAGCTGTGTTTCAGCCTACATGAAAGGAAGAATATATCACAGTAAAACAGTCAGCTGTCAAAACTATGTATTTGTCACATTTGCTAAATTGCAAGTGCTTCCTTCTCCCAAAGTGTTTTTATTTTCTGTTTCTTTCTACCTTTTCAGAAATGAATACATACATAGAATATTTTCTAGAGGTGAAAATTTCTTTGTCACTCCCCTTTTTTTTTATACCAAAAGTCTTACTTTATGGTCAGGTACATACAACTTAGAATAGAGGACAGTTAATTCAGATGGGGTTATTACATCAGCAAGATGTTAGTCTCTTGAAAATAATGATTTTTACTGCTTTTTTATACAAAAATGCATAACTGTGTAGATTAATTTACCACAACAGTTTGAAGAAATCCTCCAGTGGCCTTTTAGGAAAATAAGTTTACTGTTCTTTCTTTTTTTCTTCAGTTCACCTATTCATTGTCCTATAATGAGTATCTACCATATAACTGTACCTCTCTGAATGCAGTATTGATGACCTTTGATATTAGTCTCACTCATTTTGTCATCACACCTTAAATATATATTTCAAATTAGCATGTCCTCATGGTTTGCATTGTTTTGTTTTGGTTTTAAAGTTCTGTAAATAAAAAGAGTTAATCAACAGCTAGTTCCCTGACTTGAGAAAAATAATTTTGATTTACTTAGGGACAACAGGGAAGAATTATACTAGTATAGGAAACATTTGATAAAGCTGCAGGTACATTGTATAAGAACACAAACTTGGCTAATAGCTGAATTTGAGCAGAGGTCTTTTGGAAACCTGATGCATGCTCCATACCAAAAATTAGATTTCCTTGTTTATGAGGTGTGGACAAACACCCTGAAGTCATCATAGTATATAATGCTCTTTAATGCCCAGGTTTCAATGTTTAAGTTGCAGAAGTGAATCTATTACTATTTTTTCCACTCTCTAGCTCTAATAACTTTGTTATTTTATTGGATGTTGCAGTTCTACTCCTGGCTTGGTAGAAAATCGTCCTCAGTCACCAGCAACAGGCAGAACACCGGTGTTTGTGAGCCCCACTCCTCCTCCTCCACCGCCACCACCTCTTCCATCTGCTTTGTCGACTTCATCATTAAGAGCTGCAATGACTTCCACCCCTCCACCCCCAGTCCCA